TTCTTTCTTTCTTTCTTTCTTTCTTTCTTTCTTTCTCTTTCTTTCTTTCTTTCTTTCTTTCTTTCTTTCTTTCTTTCTTTCTTTCTTTCTTTCTTCCTTCCTTCCTTCCTTCCTTCCTCCCTACCCATAACCCAGGTAGGTCCCCCTCCTCAAGACCAACACACATCATGAGTTGATGCTTGACTCAGGACATAATACTGGGCTCAGCTGAACCAGCAAAATTTTGCTAGACGAAACCGGTTTGGCACACATGGAGGTTCCACAAAAAAATACTCACTTCTGGTCAGCAAAGTCTGTGTTTGATGTGGACAAGTGCATGTGAGGGTCAGCTAGTCCTTCATGATAATAATCATATGCTGGCAAGTCAATTCTGACTTATGGTGACCCTTTCCAGGGTTTCCTGGGTAGAGAACACACAGAGGTGGTTTCCACTCCCTTCTTCTGGGGGTCACATCCTGGGAGTGTGCAGCTTGCCCAAGGCAACAGAGCCTCACTGTTTTCCCAAGAGGCACAATGGGGGGACTGAACTTCTAATCTCTGGCTCAGCAGCCAGAGACCTAACCCACTGAGCTATCCAAGCAATGGTATAATGAATGGAGCCATGAAACCATGTGAGGCATTGCCTTGCTCTGTACCCCTCACTTTGCCACAGCAATGGGGCCACTGGTGCCCAGAGGGAGCCGTGGGTCCAAATTCCCTCTCTTTTCTGCCACCCAGACAGCCATGAGATGTTCTGCGTCCCCTTTTACAACCAGTAGCTGTGGGTGGGAACCTCGGTCGAGCCAGCGCTTGCTGATGTGAAGGGCCGCCATGACCACAGGGACCTGGAGCTGGTTTGCCGCCTTCATTGTCCCGAGCAAACAAAGCAGCTGTTTCAGGGTTTCGTGATGCTTCTGTGAGGCGTTTCATTGTTCTGGATAAGCCTCTCCTCACAGTAAGCACCCATCATAATACCTTTTCCCCCTTCAATATAAAATAACTTTATTAGCTTTAAAGAATTATTAGCCTTAAAGCTCTAAAGATTTTATGAAAATGTTAAACAGATGTCTGAAGACAACTTCAGTCTTCTGTCTGCTTAGTTTTTAACCCATCTTAGAGCCACCCTGCTTTCGCAGGCTCAGCTCGTTGGTTGGGTTTTCCAAGGGGAACATAGATTTCCCCCGTTTTGGAATATGCCTGAAAGAGGAGGCTCGGCTTGGAACCTGCTTCACCCTTTAGGCATCGGGTTCACTGGCCTTGGGCCCCTTTAAAGAGGCCATACGGTCCCGAGGAGACCCTCACTTGGGAAAAATCTGGATCTTTTGTGAGTCCCCCTTCTCGGGTGAAGAAGTGAAACTTGGCTAAAATGTCTTCACTTTATGAGTGTATCGGGTGAAGTTGTCAGGCATGACCAGTCCCTTGGAGAGCCAGATTTCAGACACATGGGCAGAGGAGTGTGTTGGTTAATATTAAATGAGTATTTATTTATTTATTTCTTAAAATACTGGATGGAACCTGCAGGCATGTTATGAGAGACTGAAACCCACCCAATTCCAGGCAGATGATGATGATGATGATGATGGTGTGTGTGTGTGTGTGTGTGTGTTTGCTTTGGGCAAGGATTCCAGTGTGGGTTCTAAGGAGGGACCCCACCCACTCACCCACCAACTGTTCTGTGAGCAATTCTTACAAAAATGGCATGGGATTATAGAGCAGCTCTTTTTTTGGAAAAAAAAAGTCAGACAAACATGTGGGAAGTGTTTTGTGTGGAGAGGGAGATGTGGGCGAAAAGAGTTTGCTCCTTTTCTAAACCTGTATGAAAATGAGCATGTAGATCAAAGAGGAGCAGGTTGGTAAGTCACCTGGCACTTAAATTTCAGACAGATGGGAGCAGTTAATTAAACAAAAAAGTGCTAGAGTATTTCTCTCTCTCTCTCTCTCTCTCTCTGTGTGTGTGTGTGTGTGTGTGTGTTCTGGTTATGTGGGGTTTCTTGGTGGTTTTTTTTGACACTCTCTGGGTGGGGGACCCTGAGCACTGTAGTCAAAGAGAATCCTGTCTCCCAGGCTCGGATGCCACCTGGGCCGTGGCCGGGTCCACCGTGGCCATGCCCTGAGAAGCAACCTTGAAGCTTAGGCTTCCTTTGAGATGGATCCCCCTCGACTCCCCCCCCCAGCATCAGTCCACCAACTGCCCTAGCCTTACAGCCAGAGGGGTGGGCACGGGCGCTGCACCTTCCTTGCCCCCTGCACCCAAACAAAAGACCCCCCCCTCTGGCTCAGCCTTCGGAGCAGGTGTGCCCTTGTGTGTTAGAGACCTGGGAAATGCAAGGTTCCTCCTCCTTTTTGTAAAGCCTGAATTGGACTGAGACTTCGTCTTAATTAAGAAGCAAAGAGGAAGTGGGGAGGATGGAGGCATGCTCTCCATCCAGCCCCCCTTGACATCTTTCCTGCTCCCTCTCTCCAAGGGCTGCTAGGACTGTTGGCTGGTCGTGCTGCCCAACTTGGGGTCCCCCAAGTGTTCTTGCACTGCAACACTTAGAAGCCTTCGCCACTAGCAGTGCTGGCCAGCATTTCTGGGAGTTGCGGTTCAAGAACACTTGGTTTACTCAAAATTGGAAACCAATGTATTTGGGGATGGATCTGCTAACTAATTTTTTTTTTCATGTGTACCATGCTTATGTACATTGCATATAAAATCTGCACTCTTTCCTTAGTGTGAGAGATGCCCTCCTCCTCTCTACTTGGAGTAGCTACTCCTGAGTTGGTTGACAAGTTGCACCGAATGCGCACACCACACTTCTTCATCTCCACATCCCTCTCGACACATGTAAGCTTCTGCATAAAGAAAGACCCACACAGCAACAAGAGCCCCTGCATCTTGTTTGTTTGCAGATCTGCTAATTTGTCAGCGATGTACAAGCAGAACTCGTTAAATCGAAGTTGCTAATTTTTAGAAAGGCAGTTCTTTTGTTTTGACTTAATTGCCAGTGATTGTTTTGGACAGTTCTGCTCTCTCTCTCTCTCTCTCTGTCTCTCTCTCTCGCTCGCTCGCTCTCAGTTTACATCAAATCACTCCTACAGACGTGGTAATATAACAGGAACAAGAAATTAAAACTTCCTTTCCCTGGTCGGGACCACTAATTGGAACTGATATGATTTAAGTCTCCTGAATTTTGCCTGCTGTCTGTATCTCTGCCCCATGTTGCTGTCTGTTGTGATACGGGAGGATCAAGAAAGAGAAACCTGGGCCAGGTCTGGGTTGAAGGAGGCTTTCCAAGATCCCTTGTAGGCATCTCTGCCATGACACCACCCAAAATGTTCCTTCATCTCATCACCTGTAATTAGGCATACAAGCCCACACTCAGGCTGTGCCCAGAACACCTTCCCTGCAGATGGCTTCTAAAATTGGGCTTTATGAAAGTTTGGGCTTGGTTGTTTATTGGATTGGCTAGAGGATCCACATTTCTGCAAGACACTTTGTTTAGAATGTCTTCCAAACACCTTGTAAAAAACATGGAGAGCTTAATAAGGGCACCGCGTGAATGTCTTTAATTAAGGAGTGGGCTGAGAGTTGTTTCTGGTTTCTTTGCAATGGGTGTGACACAATGGCACTTCTGGAGCCCATGTGTCCTTCCTTGATGCTTGAGAGAGGATGACAAGTCCCACTGGGGTCTTCTTGGATAAACAAGAACCAGGCGTTTGCAAAATGCCGAGAGGGAAGCAATGCCAAAATATAAGCAGCTGATCCTTTGCTGAGAGGCAGAACAATGCAGCTAAGTTGGGCTTTTGGAGCATTTTGCACCGGGAAAAAAATAGAGAGAGAGATAGAGAGATAATTATATGGTGACCTAAACTGTATGAGTTCTGATTTAGGATATTTGCATGACTTACCTTTAGTCAATAAATCTTTTAAAATATTCAATTAATTTTATGCGCTGGGCACCTGAAATTATTCCTACCTGCCGACAGTTGAAACGAGCGGCTCTCGAACAAGTCGCTGGGTGAAGATATTCAGCCAAGTGGGCTGAGAGTGATTTAAATGTCGCATTTGCATTTTTATATTTGGAGCTTTCTTTGAAAGCTATTTTATTTAAATACCTGTAAATATGGTGAGACATGAGAAGCAAGCAGCATATACTTCTTGGCATTAATAAGATTTTAAGGGGACAATAAAGGGACTTTGATCTGGAAAGTGGGATTAACGTTAGGTTTAGGATTAAGGTTAGGAAGCAGCAGTTCCTTGTGTGAGTGATCAGGCTTTTTTCCGTGCTTGTGGGGACGTATCCAGGGCTTCTTTACACCCGTGTAAGTCCCATGAAGTGATCGCCGGACTGTGCAACAAAAAGACATTGGTCTTCTGGAGTATCACACCAGCTGTCACAACCAAGGCACAAACCTTTATTTCTGCAACTGGAATGTGCAATAAAAGAAAATCTTTAATGCTGTTGTTTGTTGCAGGTTGGAAACACACCAAAGTCAACAAAGTTGACTGCAGACAGTTCCTCGCATGCCAAATGCTTGTTGAAAATCTGCCTCAGTGTTAACCTTTCCAGCCCCCTTTCTGCCACACCATTCGGCGCTCCTCCGGCCACCCTTCCCACATTTTACACCTTTGTCTCACTGTTGCATATCTCCAGAGAGAACACGTCAGATCCAATGTCTGAGATGATGGAGCAACCTCGGCGTGGATACGAAGGAGCAGCGGGAAGAGATACGATGTGAGGAGCAACCCACGCAACAGAAACGCCGTTGACTCGAAGCACATCCTCCATCTCCGAGCACGAGTTCCATCTGACGGGCCGGAATGGGTGGGCAATGTTCAAGTCAGCGACTCAGCCATGGGCCTCCTGGTGGATTCCGATCCGGCCTCCCTTCCTCCCAGTGTTCCCGTTCCACTGAGTTCTAAGTGGCCCAGGGTGACGTAAATTAACAGAGAGGCCTCTGCTCCTTTGAAAGCTGCCGCCCTGATTAAGAGATTGGTGATGCTGAAAGAAAGCTTTATTTTAACAACTCAGTGTTAAATGGATGACAGCAACGAGACCAGCTCTCAAAGGGATGTGGCTTCATGCCTTTATATGCCCTGGAAAAGTCATACCCTGGAAAAGTCATCAAAGATATAGATGGTATGTGTTTTTTGTTTGTTTGTTTGTTTTGGTTTTTAAATACCCAAACACCTTGCCCTGCTTTGGCTGGAATGGAATGAAGCCTCGACTCTCCCAGAGAAGGAGAGAACAGGAGAGGTGGCAGAGAGCCGAGAAGGGCAGGAAACCGACCTGGTCACATCTGCAGCTGGCCATTCCAGGTGAGAGTTCCCTGAGAGAGAGAGCGGCTCTTAATCATTTTGGTAATCCTTTTCTACAGGTGCTTCATGTTTTGTTTGCTTACTTTTCTCCTTTTTTAAAAATGCAACTGTCCTATAAAGCTGGACATAACCAGCAGGGCTGGATTAATAACCACACCAGCCATGCTGCAGGATCAGGGCCGTTCCAGACATACCGAATATGGTTGTCTCCATGCCGCTTAGTTCTCGGGGAGGAACGTGCCCGCGTGCCTCCTGGAATGAACCGATCCTTCCACATTCCCTATTGCCCGCGGTGATTATTTTGTCATCACAAAACGAGTTGCCAAAGGACCTGGGACTGAAGGCTCTTTTCCATGACTGTGATGGCGAGAGACATGACACGTGCCAGACTTAATGAGTTCCAAGGGGAGACTGGCGGGTTTGTGCCTTTGCACACATGTGCCAAGGACCAGCCTTTGTCTCCAGTTGTGGCTGCCTTCAAGGACTGAGAACGAGGAGGGGGCCCTCTCCTTGTGCATGTCCTCCCTTGCCCGTTTCTGGGTATCTATGGAGCTGGCACAGGTGAGC